TGCAACCTAGCTTTCCCCTTTATTAACTATGTGAGTTTTTTAGTATGTTAATTGACTTCTCTATACTCCATATTCTTTGTCTATAAAATTGGAATAATAACAGTAACTCCCTTAGAGAGTTTCTGGTGATTGAATAAAATAATTCAAATAAAACATTCCATTCTGCAGTAGTACATAGTAAATGTTCAATAAATGTCATTGGTCATTGCTGCTGTTGCTATTGACCCCAAAAAGATCTTTTTTTTTTGAGATAGAGTCTCACTTTGTTGCCCTTGGTAGAGTGCCATAGTGTCACAGCTCAGCAAAAACTCTTGTCTCAGTTTTTCTTTGTTAGTCGAGATGGGGTCTTACTCTTGCTCAGGCTGGTCTCAAACTCATGAGCTCAAGCAATTCACCCACCTCAACCACTGCGCTCGGCCCCCCAAAGAGATCTTTATACAGATCTTTATAAATATCTGTAGTGAAAGGATTGAGGATCATTTCAACTAGGAAAAAAAAATTAGAAAACATATTACTTCCATAAAGCATAGCCAAGCATACAATTCATATAACAGGTACCTACACAGAAGTTACAGTTAAACTATCCTTTTAAAGTCTGATATTTCTTACTTTCTAAGAGGTATATTACTCTTGCTTTTCTTATAGAGTATTTCCTCACAATAAAAGATTCTTTAATTTTTTTATTTCTTATTTATTTATGTATTTTTTGGAGACAGAGTCTCACTTTGTCACCCTTGATAGAGTGCTAAGGCATCATAGCTCACAGCAACCTCAAACTCTTGAACTCAAGTGATCTTGCCTCAGCCTCACCAGTAGCTGGGACTATAGGTGCTAGCTGGGACTATAGGCACCCACCACAATGCCCAGCTATTTTTAGAGATCGGGTCTTGCTCTTGCTCAGGCTGGTCTTGAATTCATGAGCTCAAGTGATTCACCCTCCTTGGCCTCCCTGAGTGCTAGGATTACAGGGTGAGCCACTGCCCCCAGCCTCCTTCACTTTTAAATTTGTATCTAGCACACAATGTACAATAATTCAATGAAGATTTTAAGTCTCGATTAGAAGTGCATATGAACATATTATTTTGAGAACCTAGTTCTTAGGAAAGTTAGACACTAATGCAGTAGCAAAAACTTCTTGCATTTAGATTTGTGAATTTCTTATTCCTTCACTGAAATAGGAGGGAGAAACTCACAGTGGATAAGGAATTGCAGTTTTGTAGCCATTTGTATTCATTTCCACATTCTCCTTTTATAATCTAATATTTGGGAAGCTGCTCTGGAAATTGTAAAACTAAACCATGGAAATGTGGCCATTAGCATTACTATCGACTCTAACAAGTTATTAGAGAATCAAATGTCTCCCCTGTAAGGGAGAAGACCAAGCTATTTATGTTTGTTAATATGCATTCCAGGCAGCCAAAATCAGGTTACAAGTAAATTTTGTGTTTAAAAAGATAGAACCACTTGATAAACTATAAATTAGTTGATGTAATACTATAAAAACAATGAGGATCTATGTTTCTCAGAGTAAAACTTTTAGGTACATAAACCGCTGTATTTTGTAATGTGTTACAAAATAATTGGGTGGAAAAACTCCACAAAATGAAAAGGTAGTGACAATCTGTGGTAAATGTTTGCAATATGTACGCGGGAATGTGTTGTCTCCATAGAGAAAAAGGCCTATAACGCAACAGGAAAGACATGAATACTCCAATAAGAGACACGAACAGGCAATTCCCAAAAGAACAAATTAAAACTGCCAGCAAATATATTGAAAAAGTTTATCAAAGAAATGCAAATTAAAACAACACTTTTTTCTCTTTTAAATTGGCTTGGTGATATACGGGCTCTCATACATGGTTGATAGAATGTGTATAGACATAACTTTTCTGCAAGTCTGTTGGCAATATGAATTAAGAACTTCCAAAATCTTTGTACTCTGTCTCAGTGGTTCTACTGTATAATCAGACTAACACAAAGATTTATATAAGTGAGTGTTCACATTGTGGTGATACATTATAAAATGACTTAATTAGAATATGGTTAGAGAAATTATGATTCCCACTTGTGGACCAGTAAGAACTGAAGGCAGTCTTCAAAAACAACTTCTGTGTTTTCAAGTGTGGGTTATTGAGAGGTATGGTATAGGTAAAAGAGTTAACTTCCATTTCCAAAATCACAGTTTTGTACATGAAAATTCAAAAGAAAACCCTTATCTTAAACAATAATAACCGGCATAATCCCTGACCCATAATAAACAATAATCAGCATACCCCAGGACCCCAAACAACATTCCAATTCAAAATTCAATCTCTTAAATCAATTGCCCTAAACTACTCAAGATACACACTTTTAGGTTAAAGTTGAATTTACACAACAGGAAGAATGGGAGACGTGAGGTGAAGGTCACTTAGGATCTAAAGTGACCGGACCAGCGGTGTGGTCTCAGCCCCAGCCCGAATGGCTCCATCTTATTCTCACTACATGTGCTCTCAGAGGTTATGGGAGAGGAGAGCACACATGTCGGGGGCCCATTAAAAGAGGTGTAGGGGCTGGGTGGTGGTGGCTCACGTCTGGAATCCTCACACAGGAGGATCCCTTGAGGCCAAGCGATCAAGACCAGCCTGAGGAATATATTGTTGATGGGAAAGAAGCCATACTCTATAAAATAATTTAAAGAAGTTTATTCTGAGCCGAATTTGAGGAACAATGGCCTAGAGCCACGCCTCAAGAAGCCTCAAACATTGTGGTGGGGTTACAGTCTCATTGTATACATTTCAGGGAGATAAGAATTACAGGTCATGTCGTAATTACAGGTGGAAGTCAAGTCATACGTTGATTCGGCCCCAAATGTGGGGCATCTCAAAGTGGGGCCCCACAAGTTATAGGTGAGTTTAAAGATTCTTTAGCTGAAGTTGGCTGTAAGAGTTAGGCTCTGTCTAATAGACAGGAGTCAATAGAAATGAATGCTAAGATAAGGGTTTGTTAATCAGAGACAAACTATAGGACATGTGCCCAGACTCAAGTAGTTTGTTGTATATCTTGAGGACTTGCAGGTATGTCTTGCATAGCCTTGGGCCTGTTAATGAGTCCAGAGGATTAAAAAAGGCTGGGTGTGGTGGCTCTTGCTTGTAATCTAGCACTATGGGAGGCCAAGGCAGGTGGATTACTTGAGATCAAGAGTTCAAGACCAGATGAATAGAACCTTCTCTAAAGAAGATAGATGAATGGCTAGCAAACATATGAAAAAATGCTCATCATCCCTAATTATTAGAGAAATGCAAATCAAAACTACCCTGAGATATCATCTAACCACATCAAGGTGGCCCACATCACAAAATCTCAAAACTGCAGATGCCAGTGTGGATGTGGAGAGAAAGGAACACTTTTACACTGCTGATGGGACTGCAAACTAATACAACCTTTTTGGAAGGAAGTATGGATAACCCTCAAAGAATTCAAGATAAACCTCCTATTTGATCCTGCAATTCCATTACTGGGCATCTACCCAGAAGGAAAAAAATCCTTTTATCATAAGGACACTTGCACTAGACTTTTTATTGCAGCTCAATTTACAATCGCCAAAATGTGGAAACAGCCTAAATGCCCACCAACTCAGGAATGGATTAACCAGCTATGGTACATGTATACCACAAGCTGTGGTATATGTATACCATGGAATACTATTCAGCCATTAAAAAGATGGAGGCTTTTACATCCTTTGTATTAACCTGGATGGGAGTTGAACACATTATTCTTAGTAAAGCATCAAAAGAATGGAGAAGCAAAAATCCTATGTATTCAATTTTGATATGAAGACAATTAATGACTTGGTACGTGGTGGGAGGTGGGGGAAGGGGAGAGCAGAGAGAGAGAGAGGAGGGAGGAGGGTGAGGAAAAGGAAGAGCAGAGAGAGGGGAGGTGGGAGGGAGTGGGGTCACTGTGTGTGACACACTTTATGGGGTCAAGACAGCATTGTAAGAGGGACTTTACCTAACAAATGGAATCAGTGTAACCTGGTTTCTTGTACTCTCAATGAATCCCCAACAATAAACAAATGAACAAACAAAGAAAAGAGTTCAAGTCCAGCCCGAGCAAGAGGGAGACCTCAGTTTACTAAAAACAGAAAAGCTAGCCGGGCATCATGGCGGGTGATGCCTATGGTCTGAGCTACTTGGGAGGGTAAGCCAAAAGGATAGCTTGAGCCTAATAGCTTGAGTGATAACACCATGGCACCCAGCACTCTATTACAGGGCAACAGAGTGAGACTCTGTCTCAAAAAAAAAAAAAAAAAAAAGAAAGATAGAACAGTGGATCTCTGGATTTTCTAAGTAAAAATAATATGCAAAGCATATTACTTGCACATATGTTCTATTCACCATAAATTTTCCCTACCCTTCATTTATATTCTAAGACAAAGTATTTTATTTCATTGGGAATATCATAATGAAACATCTTTCTCTGAAATAGGAACTGACAATGCGGATTCTGTAACAACAATCACTGTGTTTATTGGCTTAATGTTAATGAGTTCCATTCTGTTGCTGTTTACAGCATAGTAAGATAGAACAAGAACTTTGTGTGTTTCTTTAGTTTATCTTCACATTTCCTACTGTTTACAGTCTTCTACACAGTTTTTTCAGAACACTAGAATTCAGCACAGCACCTGGCACTAAAAAGGGATCAAAGAGTAAATGTCCATACAACTTGGACATGACCGACTGTCAGGGTTTTATTTTTGGTGAGTATATTCTGGGTTTATAGTCACTCACATACATTGGCAAACATGGGGAAGTAGCTTCAAATTTCTCGTTTATCTTGTTGAGAAGATAGTTTGAAAGTACTTATTAAAGGCTAGTTTTTTTTTAAAAGGAAAGTGACTCAAATGTGAAGTCTTCATTTAAGGCCTCCCTCTCTCTCTTTCTCTCTGTCTGTTTCTCTCTCTTTTAAGGCATCCTTTAAAAAAAGCCTTGCCCAAAAGGAAATGAGTATGAGGTAAACTGCGTTAACTTGAAGCTCAGCAGAGACGAAACTTAAAGCAGGAAGCAACATAACATCAATGTCCCGCGTGGCAACACATGTCGGTCATGTGAACAGACATGACACAAACGGCCCTCCTTAAATTATTTGTGGCAATAGTGATGGTGTTCATTTTAATTTTGCCAGAGTTTTTCAAGACATCAGAAGGTAAGTGTATATAATTGTCATCTAGCTTTCCTTTCTTATTTAAAAATGAGTATAGCTGATGGTTACAGGGAAGTTTTCTTTACATATACGCTGCATGGTCTGAAGTTCTATGTCTCAAAAACTAATAAAACAACATTAAATCTTAGTCAACTTGCAAATAGCACCGTGACCTTCCTCATAGTACTTAATTCATGCAGCATACATGATAGTGAAAAGAGAGATTTAAAATCTGTATTCTAGATTTTAGACATTGAATTTATGATCATCTCACTACATGGTTGTGCTCTTTGAAGCAGTCTCCGTCAAAACAGTTTGAAGTAGGATTTTCTGGAATTACTTAATGAAGTAAATAGCATGTATTATGTTAAAATGCTTGAATTCCTTTATCACAACTATTTCACACAAATAATTTGCCATCAGTTTTTGAAAAGTAAGATTACTTATTTTGAAATAAGGTGAGTGCAAATGTAAGCAGATATGTGTGTGTATTTGTAACGAGAAAAATACAGCCAAATCAACTCCGTGAACATTTCAGAAAATTGTGATATGGTTGCTGAAACCTAGACTAGAAAACTAAATATATATAAATTTAAACTATTTTCATGTGTTAAATAAAAGATCTGCAAATGTATTAATGGAATTGTTTGGATGGCAGTTGTGCTCCCTTAGCAATTAATAAGGAGATAAAGTAAAAAGGAGATGCTCTATTCTATCATTGAATAGTTATTATATGAGTTCGGTTAAAATCAGAGAAAAACTTACACTTGATGACTTACTGTGATGAATATTTATTATTGCATATATGTGATGCTAAGTACCCAGATTAAAATATTTTTGCTAATTATAATTGATGCCATATTCCAATGATTATTTAATGTTGCATATACATGATACTGAGTAGACAGATAAAAATATTTTTGCTAAATAAACGCTATGACTGCAATTTGGTTTTCTGGGGTTATATTGCTTAGATTAAGTAATTATAGTATATATTTTTAATGCTTGATTTCACGGAGTGAAAACAAGTTATGAAAGATATAGTTAGAATAAAGATAATCTATTTTGAAGATATTGTGGGTTGAGAGTAAGCTCATTTAATAGTCATCCAAGGTAGGTCCTATATAAATATACCTACTACTCCCCCAAAATCAGAATGGATCTAATGAAAATGAGGTGAATGTCCCCCAAAAGACTTAATAAACCAACTACCCCCCAAATGTTAATAAACATTTTCTAACCATTGGTTAGTATTTGATGAGAACTGGTGATTGTAAGAGCATGTTAAAGTTTTCCTTTTGGGGTGGATGTATTGTTCTTTTAGTTGTTATTTTTCAGAGTCTGAAGCATGGCCTTCACGGGCCTGTGAGCAGAAAGAAGACTTGAAACACAGAGACATTCATAGAGAGGAACGGGTGAGAACTTTAGTGGCACTTCGAATTGGTGGGTAGCAGAGAGCGCTCTTGTAAAATCCACCTTAGCCAAACTTCCCTAGCTTCATAGTCATGTGTCAGTTCTTCATCTTGACAATAGTCAACGGTCATTTATCATGACATTTGTTCTCTGACAATTGGGAGCTAACTGATGACATTAGCTCCCAATATTACCTTTCCTGTCTTCCCGCAAACTTAAACTATCTGTTTCTCTTTTCCTGGTCCAAGAACAGCATAGATATTTCTTAAAACTCCTCTGATGAATTTTTTTTTTTTTTGAGACAGTGTCTTACTTTGTCATCCTTGGTAGAGTGCCATGGCATCATAACTCATAGCAACCTCAAATTCTTGGTCTCAAGTGATCCTCTTGCCTCAGTTTTTCATTTTTAGTAGAGATGGGGGTCTCATTCTTGTTCAGGCTGGTCTTGAACTCGTGAGCTCAAGCGATGCACCCACCTTAGCCTCCCGTAGTGCTAGGATTACAGGTGTGATCACCACACCTGCTTTTTTTTTTTTTAAATTTAAGAATCCAGCTCTTGCTATGTTACCTGGGCTTACCTTGAACTCCTGGCTCAAGTGATCCTCCTTCTCAGCATCATGAGTATCTGGGACTATTGGCACTCACCACTGGGGCAGCCTGGATTTATTTCAGGATTTTGTTTCAAAGAAACCCTGCGTGAGGCCAAGAAACAAAAATGTTTAGAAACCATAATCTTCTATTATGTCATTTAGTGGTAGGCATTTTAGACAGAGCTACTGTGAACAAAAATTTGATTTAGGAAAAATATAATGCTTTATATTTTTATAATGGTTTGTGGATCACCAGGACATGTTCCTTTCTAAAGGAAAATTTAGTCATTATAGGACTCATTTCACATAGTCCTATGTTGGTTAAGGTAAGAAGACTTGAACATAATTGTTTTACTATTTTTTTATTAGTTTTTAATCACAATACTACATGGCCTATAAAATAAGTGGAATTGTGAACCAATGTATTTCATAAAGTAGCTCATAAATTTATTTAATGATAAGCTATGAGTGTTCTGGGAGTGTTAAAATTAACCTTCTGAAATTCTCCTGTTTAGGCTTGTCCTATCTATTACTGGTGGCTTTTTTATTTTCATTTTTTCTTATGTTCTGTACACTTTAATTTCTAAGATAAATATTATAAAATGATTTTTACTTATAAGTTATTCACTGATACCCAGTCTTTAACATGTCAAATGAATTCAAAAGGAATCTTAATGAGGAATAATGTATTCACAAGATTTAATAGATTTGATTTCAAAATAACAAACCCTCTGAAGTCCTAAGCTAAAAATAGAGCACTTGTGTTTGATCAGTTTTCATTAAGAATGTATCTGAGCCTCTGAATAATCATTAATAGGAATATCCAATCATCACAATTACATAGAGTAAGCTATTTAATCTAACTTTACCAAAGAAGGGGGAACTTCTTTAATGTTGTTTGAGAATTTTAATGAGTTTGTGTTAGCTATGCACTACTCACAAGACAGCCTATTCTACGGCACTGTTTTTAACCTTTCAGTTTATTTGAAAGGCAGCTAAAATACAGTAGTTACTATAATGGTTTGATAAATGTATATTACATGTAGATTATGAAGATACAAAGAAATGGTGGATTTAGTTTGAATTTGAGCTTCTTACAATTAAGGCAGCTGGGTTACTCCCAGATAAGAGATTTTATCAATCTGCTTTTGTTGGATTTACAGTTTGAGAGAGACTTGGTTACCTGTCATGTAAATCCCAGTGATTTTTAATTTATTTATTCTTTCACTTGTCAATACTGTTTACCTTACTAAGGACCACAGGTTACAAAAATGAAAGGCAAGTCTTCCCTCAAGGAGTTTTCAGTTAAGGGAAGATTAATAATTGTAACTAAATACATTTATACTCTACTCATAATAGTTTTGATTAATAAAAAGGTAATTAAATACAACATTATGATTACTACAATAAGGATATAAAAAAAAGTGCAACTGAAACGTAAATATTGCTTCTAGGTGTATTTTGGGGGAGGATTTTCCTTCTGTTTCTATTTGCAAAGAGAACTAACCCATGTCAGAGTTCAAATGTTCACCTAAGCCCTTTCCAAAAGGAGGAGTGATTATCATTATTGATTCTAAAATAAAGTGGCCTCATGTCAACATCTCAAAAGTTCCAGAAACTAGAAATTATAGTGAGCTACAAGTGTACTCCCAAAGATTTGCCCTGATGTAGGGCAGGAGTAGCACAGATGAAAATCACCCCATATCTATTTTTGTCTAGCTGTTTTGACTTCTTCACTTTCTTTTTAGAGGCAAACACACATAAACTATGTTTACCAGCTTTCATTTCCCCTTCTATTTCAAACTTTCTGATGGAAATGGTGATATAATGGACAGTGAAATTGAAGAAAACTAAGGATACAGGAACTTTAAACACTTAGAAACTATACAATAAACCCTGATGGATATGATGTGTGCACATTATTTATGTCTATATAAAGGCCACTGTATCAAGGGTAACTGATTCATTTCCTGAAAGTGTTACTCTAGCTTTCAGAAAAGAATTCTTCACTTTCTTTTTATTGACTGGTTCATAAAAATTTAATCAAGTGGGCTGGGCATGGTGACTCATGCCTGTAATCCTAGCACTTTGGAAAGCTGAGGTGGGAAGATTGCTTCTGACCAGCCTGAGCAAGAGTGAGACCCCATCTCTATTAAAAATGGAAATACTAGCTGGGTGTGTTGGTGCAGGCCTGTAGTCCCAGCTACTCGGGAGGCTGAGGCAAGAGGATGGCTTAAACTCAGGAGTCTGAGGTTACTGTGGGCTCTGCCTCAAAAAAAAAAAAAATAAGTAAGCACCAATAAGCTTACTGGGATATAGCCTTATGACTGTTAAAACAATTTATTTTTATTTTTTATTAAGTCATAGCTGTGTACATTAATACTATCATGGGGTTCAGTGGGTTGTTTCTATATATAATTTGGAATACTTTCATCCAACCGGTTAACATATAAAACAATTTTTAAAAATTTTAACAAATACTCATATTCACATGTTATCAGGTACCATGTATCATGCCAAGTATTTTTATACAATAACTCATTTTAATTCATTAAGTATTTCACCTTATTCATGGCAACTTCTCAAGAATGTTCTAAAAACCTTCAGAAAGAAGGAGTAAAACTAGATGGATAAATTTAATTTGTCATACGACTTCACTTCTTAGTGAATTTTCTGAATGATTATAGTTTTAAAATGGCTACTAATAGAGATGATATTTTATTTTGTTTTATTTTAATTTTTTTAAGACAAAGTCTCAGTCTGTGGCCCTGAGTAGAGTGTCATGGTTGCTCACTGCAACCTCAAAGTCTTGGACTCAAGCAATCCTCCTGCCTCAGCCTCCTGAGTAGCTGGGACTTCAGGCGCCCACCACAATGCCAGCCTATGTGTATATTTTAGACAATGTGTACTGGAAAAAAAAATGTGCTGAATAGAATACTTCTCATTGCTTTGGGACAACCAGCCTTACTCTTTCATCTCTTAGGTTGCAATAGCAACAAC